GACAATATATTAGAGAATTTTAAACTCTTGTATTGAGTTTGTACATATAGGGATATTACCTTTTTGCCTTTCAAAGACATACTTTTGAGCATAGAATTGATACAATTAATATTATCATTGCCCTTTTCTCCCACACACTTTTTCTTTTCAAGGGCCACAAATATAGCTCTGAAATAATAGGAGATCATGTTTTAACTAATTGAAAATGTGGTATATAGTTCCACTGTTCTATAATGACAAACTAACATGTATCAGATGACCTTTGTACCAACAGTAATTCTAAATTCTTGACAAAATATTAAAAAACAGAAATTGTTTATTGGCACTAGCAAGTAACTAAAAGTAGGCTGAAACTAAAAGGGATTCTATTTGTGAAATAAGGAAACCACACTGAGTGAGTTCTACATTTAAGAGATCATGTGACTTGGACCCTGAGGGTCCTCCTTAACTCATGTGGTAAATGGCTGAGAGGGCTGAAATAGAAAGCAATAGTTTATTGACATGGGAAACCACAGGACTGAATTCAGGATTGTCAGAATAGGAATTGAGGAGGAAATGCCAGAAAGGAGAGAGTCACAGATGAAGGAGCCCAAAATCTACAAATAAATCCCTCTTTAATCCTTGGTTGAGTCTATACATATGCAGAGAAAGAGTCTAAGAAGCCTAGGAAGAAAATGAAAGCTAGAAGGTGTAAATAACTGAACAAATAATTCAGCAGCTTCTTAACTGTGTGTCTACAGAATTTGGAATTTTAGTTCTCCCCAAGTTAGAGGGGACTTGGCTAACATCTTGGGTTTTCCACTGAAACTCCAGAAGGGCCATGTGATAGGAGTAAAGACTACATCCTGGGACTAAGGGATTTATTGTAGAACTAAAGGAAAAACTGAAATAGACCCACCTTAACAAAGCTTCCATATTACCTGACAGTATTTTACCTGCCTGCTAGAACAAACTTCTAAGACAACAGAATCTTCGAAGATAATAGAAGATAATAGAATCTAAAGCCTCTACCATATATTATACACAAATTTCAATATGCCATCAATAATTTACTAGACATGCAAATAAATAAGAAAATGTATCCCAGAGTCAAATGAAAAATGAGTCAATACAAACAGATCCATAGCTGACCTAGATAATGGAATTGGCACATAGGGACATTAAAATAACTATGTCAAATCTGTTAAGGAATTTACGTGACTAGATAAATAGAATGGGTGAGGAGATGGGAAATTTCAGGAGTCCTAGGAAAACAGTAAGAAGAAGAACCAAATGGAAATTTTAAGAAAAAAAATGAAATATTTGAAATTTTAAAAATTGGAATGGAATTAATAACAGATTTATCAAAACTCAGTAATGAAAAGACAACAAAAATTAGCATAAGACATGAGCAGACACTTCCAAAAATAAGATCTATGAATGGCCAATATACATTTGGCAAGATATCTAACCTCATTAATTATCAGGGAAGTGTGCATTGAATACTCCTTTATAATCATTAGAATTACCAGCATTAAAAAGGCCGACAACACCAAGGGATTGCCAAAATTTGAACTCTGTTACATTGCTGGGGTTATGTGTAACATGGTAATCACTTGGGAAAACTGTTATGTTCTTTATAAAATAAATATATACTTCCTAGTAATTTCACTCAATGATATTTGTCCAATGGAAATGAAAACATATAGCTACAAGATGGTTTATACAAGTATGCAGATTGATTTATAATAGCTAAAAACTAGAAATCTAATGTCTATTCACAGATGAATGAATAAAGAAATTGCGGCATAGTCAACAATGGAGTATTAGAAATAAAAAGGAATGAAGTCTAAATAGATACAACACAGATGAATCTCAGAAATATTTAATATGTGGTGTGAAAGAAGGCAGTCTCTCTATCTGTATATAAAATTTGAAGTTATATAGCAGGTAAAACAGTTCTAGTGGTCAAAGTCAGAACAGGAACTCCCTCTGGGTGAGGGGAGGGGAAACTGAATGGAAAGGGCACAAGGTAGCTTTTTGGGTTGATGGAAAGGTTTTGTATCTTTATTAGCATCATGGTTACATAAATGCACACAGTTGTTAAAACTTGTCAAAGCTGCATACTTAAAATCTGTGCATTTGATTGTGTGTACATTATAAATCATAAATACAATAGATGGGAATTTAAAAGTAATGTAATATATAGTGCTTCGATATGCCACATGCAGGAATTGAGAAGACAGTGATTTATAATGGTTAAGAGCATGGTTGCAGCATTAGACAAATCTAGGATTTTGAATCACATGTGAGTACTTTGTGAATGTAGGCAAGTTACTAACCTCTTCTAAGATCCTATGAAATGGAGATGATAAAATTAGTATTTACCTTATAAGGTTGTCCTCAGCGCAGTGCCCAGCACATTGATGCATCTGGTACATTTAAGCTGTATTCATTATTATTAAATAGCTCTTCAGCCAGACTTTCATTGCCTGAATGCAGTCAGGAATACTGGAATAATCATGAAAATTTTGAGAATTAGGTATCTGCAAACTGCATTAAGGTGCAATCTAAATAATGCAGATAATGTTTGACAGCATATGATTAAGTATACTAGAAAATTCTATTTTCATTATCTGTTTCAAAGTAACGAATTATCTCTTTGCCAAGAAAAAACCGTTTTCTTTCAAATACTTTTCTTTAAGCTCTTGTAAAAAATTTTCATATATAAAGAAATTAGGATATAATTTTTTCCCTATACAGTAATCTCACCCTCTGTTTCCCATCTCATAATCATATCACCAAAGGTGCATGTATTTTCAGTACATATATATGTGTGGGTACTGAATATATACACACACACATTACATATATACATTACATTACATATATACCCATATATATGTATATTCAGTATATATATATGTATATGTCTGTGTGTATAATGTTGTAAACAAAATGGTAACCATACTATATATACTTTTCTAAACCTGGCATTTTCACTGAGAAATCTTTTCATGTGAAGGACTCTGTTTACCTGTAGCTGGTCTATTCATTTTAAGTGCTTTTATACAGTCTATGGCATTGATGGGCTTTTATTTATTTAACCAGCTCCTGTTGGTGGACATCTGAGTAGATCCAATTTTCACTATTGTAAACAACTGTAACATCCTTGTGTACATATTTTTTGCACTTGTGTTAATAATTTCATGTAATAAATTTAAAAAGTAAAAGTGCTAATTGAAAGAATTTTAACAATATATTAATGTTTCTTTGTAAGAGAAAAAATTTTATGTTTTAGCATGTGTGCATAAACAGTGAGAAAAGAGTGGTTTTTCTTGCTGCTCTATATTTCTTCTTTTAAAATAAAGAAGAATTATTTCAAAATTTACCGAAATTTTGATTTAGAGTACTTAAGATAACTGCCACCAAGAGGACACGTAACACTGTACTAGACACTATGCTGAATGCCTTCCATGCACAAAATTATTCAAATTTAATGCACAACTTTGTAACTATGTGAGATAGTACCATTATTGACAAGGACTTACAAGAAAACCAGTGGTTGGAGCATCCCATATCTGGTAAATATTAAAGTCTGGATTTCAACCTATATTTTGTGAAATATGCAGTATAGTGTAGTCTGGAGTGAATTAATTTTGTTGTGAGTGTCTTTGAGGTTGAGGTTCATTGTCAAACTTTGGTGACGTGCAAGTGGTGAAGTAATAAAGCCGAGATAATCTTGTTTCCCTATGACACTTGTGAGGCCAAAAGTGATGCCTCCCTGCCATGCAGTGGCAGCAGAAGTCAACCTGGACATTAGACAAGTTATATTTCCCTTAGTGCCAATAGCCTGTCCCATATCCAGCTTCCTCTAAAATAATAATAATGATAATAATAATAATAAAGAGCAAAGATCAATTACATGGTGTTACGAACTGTGGAGAGAAGGACAAGTCTTCAGACTTCTAATATTCTATTTTCACATCCCAGTTTCTATTACTCTCTCTTTGCCTTTATTTTACAATCTTGCTTTTTTTTTTTTCTGTCCAAGGGGCCCATTCAATAACAACTAAAACCCCACATTCTCAGTTTCCTAATTTATGTGTCTGTGATCTTTTAGTATTGTACCCTTCCATCTGTGCACTCACACACAGAGAGCTTTAATTTCCAGTGACATCAAATTTGTGCTCTCAAAAGGTAATTTGTGATGCCTCAATGTGAAAGGGTCCCAGATGTAAAGCCAGAGAGCTGATGAGACCTGAAGCTGGTCATGGGCATAAAGCCTGCCCCTCTGTCAGAGTCAGAGCAGCACAGAAGTTCTGCTTCAGGCCCCACCAAGGGAGAGTAAAGGGTGGTCTTATGGGTGTTAAGCAAGACCAAATCTACCTTTGCGCAGCACTCAGTCAGACACCCTGCAGAAACACAGTCATGTTTGTGTCATTCTGTTGCAGGGAGAAGTTGCTCAGAGGTTTAGTTTTGATTTTGGTAGCTTTAATTATATTCCTTCAGTTTTGAGGTGAGCACAAATGTTTCAGAGTACCTTTCTAGGTTTCTTCCTGACCTTTTTTCTTCTCTAACCTGTGATGTGTTAGAGGCACCACATACCAGCTCGGGAGGGGGAGACAATTGTGAACATTTCTTCTCAACCCTGTGTTCAGTGACATCAAGTTAATAGCTTAAAATTGGATATGGGGAAAGGAATTATACCATTGAAATGGGAATATGCTACGTATCAAGGATTCTCCCACCCCAGAGAACCTGCTGTTTAGCACACAACTTCTATAACCCTTCTACTTCTGTTCACTACATAAACACACACACACACACACACACACACACACACACACACACACACAGAGATAAGCTAGTGTTTGAAACATTGAACACCCTGGGTTTTCTTCCATGGGCTATGGTTATTTACAGGAAGAACAAATTGAGTTCTTTTCCTCTTCCCATCTTGAGCTTTACATTTATTTCCAAATGCTAAATATAAGCTAACTTTCTTCTTTCTCCCTTAGTGGATGGCTGTATTCATAGAGCAGCTGGCCCCTGTTTGCTAGCTGAATGTCGTAACCTGAATGGCTGTGATACTGGACATGCAAAAATCACATGTGGCTATGACCTGCCTGCAAAATGTGAGTACAACTATTTTGAATACTGTTTCAAAATCAGATGAGACGTCTTGTTTTAATCCAGTGTATAAATGGAAAAGGAAATGGCAGTGGTGGTACTTAATTAAATGTGCTTGAGTTCAGATTTTGTACATGGTAATAAAAACATGCTTTCCAAATATGTCTCCAAATATATGCAAATATATATATATATTATATACATAGTGTATATAATATATATATGTATATACGCACATATGATGTTTATTCAAGTCTTTGACAGTGTCTCTGAAAGGGAAATAAAAATATGAGCAAAATATACATTATAGCATTTAAGTGCCACAGAGTGACAGCTCGTGGAAATGATGCCAATTTCTTATTCCTTGTTCAGGTTTCTTGATTGTGGATGTGTTTAGAGCAAAGGAGATCAAAGTGATGTATTGTGTTTTCAGCTGCCATGTAAAGGCTGATTGGCAATTACAGCCAAGGCATCTGTCACACTTTGCTTTCAGGAAAAGTCAACGAAATCTGGTTGTCAGTGTGAGAATGTATTTGTTCTTTGAATGTGGAATGGTCAAAATTTCCATTATATTTTAATAGAGAGAAGTGTTGCATTTGATTGACCTTGTTGCTTAGTCATTCAACCAACTGGGTGGCGTGGTATAGGATAAAATACTTAGAGAGAAACTGGTCAGTGTCATAGCTTTTTTATCCCATAATCTTCAGGGCCTGAGGATGGAGGTAGAGGGTTTCATTGCATCATTCAGGTGTGCATTGACCTGGAAACCGAGATGCCAATTTGTCGATTATCGCATTCACCCACTTCTTATGATACTACTGAGATCTGTGAATACATTTTATGTAAAAGTGAAGCTGGTTTTGGTTTTTATTTTAGCACTGGAGAAAACATGAATGGAAATTTATAATACAACCTATAGGATACTATGGATTATATATAGACAGGTTGTCTAACAGTGAATTTCCTGTGGATGTGTGTGAATGGAGAATAGCGTGTTATATTTTAAAGATTACTGTAAAGGTATGTTTAAATTTGAGGACTTGTAGTAAATACTAATATATTAAAACAGTATTTTTCTTTATCAATATAATATTGCATCCTATATTGTTCATAATGGTTTCAGTGAAAGTACTTTCATGTACTGCATAGTGATGCTTTGGTCAATGATGGAACACATATATGACAGTGGTCCTATAAGATTATAATACAGATTGAGTATCCCTTACCCAAAATGCTTGAGACCAGACATGATTTGGATTTTAGATCTTTTTTTCAGATTTTGAAATATTTGCATGTACAAAATGATGTAATTTGGAGATGGGGCCCAAATCTAAGCACAAAATTCATTTATGTTTTATATATACCTTATACACATAACATGAGCATAATATTATGCAATATTTTAAATAATTTTGTGCATGAAACAAAATTGTTATTGTGTTTTGGCTGTGGCCTGTCACATGAGATAAGGTGTGGAATTTTCCACTTGTGACATCATGTTGGCACACCAAGTTTTAGATTTTGGAGCATTTTGAATTTCAAAACTTGGATTAGGGATTCAACCTGTACTATATTTTTACTGAGCCTTTTCTATGTTTAGCTATGTTTACATACTTACCATTGTGTTACAATTATTTGCAGCATTCAGTATGTAACATGCTGTACAGGTTTGTAGCCTGGGAGCCATAGGCTGTATCATATAGTCTAGGTGTGTAGTAGGCTATACCATCTAGGTTTGTGTAAGTGTACCCTATGATTGCATAACGATGAAATCACCTAAGGAGTCATTTCTCAGACCATACTCCTGTTGGTAAGCGAAGCATGATTGTATATCAACTATATATGCTGTTTAATTTTTTCTCTAATGACTTTTCATTTATTTTTCTTGTTAGTGTCTTTACCTAGTGTGAAATAGTCAAATCATGTGCCAAATGGCTCTTCACTACTACTTGGAATATGTATTTGTGTCAAACAAACCCTTTGTGTAGAATGGTGTTTAGAGCAGTTCTCTTTGTAACTCAGAGGTCATGATCTGTGTATTAACGGTGATTTCCCTCTCCAGAATTGTATAGTGCTATTTTTAAAAATGTTGGTTCTTTTCCTTTCTAATACCTTGCTACATTCATAATTTACCTAACTTATACCGCCCTAAGAAGAAGCAAGGTTGTTGACTGCTATAATAATGGTAAGATTATTGACTGTTTTCAGACTTGTATTTGTCCTTAAACCAAGCAGTATTCCCAGTCTCCTATTGATTCACTGTTTTCTTTTTTATGTATTAAAACACAAATCAAATTTCTCCAAATCTGAACTTTCTAAAGAACAATATACTCAGAATCATTAAATACTCCCAAATAAAATGGTGGCTCTAGTGTATGGGTTCATACTGTGATAATTTTTTAAATGTGCTTGTATCTGTTTGACATCCCTCTGAATAAGTTACTCTGTTTCCTTTGAATACCATTCATCTTATTTTAAGGTTATTGAAGACTTGCACAATACCAGGCACTGAGGAACAAAGATCAATAAGTCAATACCTGTGCTTGAAGGATTCCAATGCTTGAGTCATCATGTTGAACTGAAACGTGGCTTTCATGGGCATCCTGGGGCAAGTGGATCTTTTGGGACAGTGAGGCTAGAAATGACGAGTCAGTCGGCAGGACTAGCTACAGAATCCATGAGAGCTGAGATCCTGAGAGCCAACACATACTCAAGTCACTGCATGCAGCCCACAGGGCATGTTTAGTAAAAACTCATCCAATAGAATAGAAATTACCAAACAGGCATTGCAGTGCCACCTCATAAAAGTCATAAACATGGAATATTTGTGACTAGGTCTTGTTTCTTCCTATATATTTAAAAGGTTAATGATTTATATTAAAAGCATAAAGGAAAGCAAGGAAAGCAATATGAAAATGAGTACTAATAGCTTACATTTTTATGCCACTTTATAGTATTTCACAGTACTTTCACAAGCCCTTATATTTAAAATTATGTTTTATAAACATTGTGTGTGTTGATTTTCCCTTTCCCTATCCCTGAGAGTTGTTTTTCTTTCTCATCAATTTGGTTTATCCATTTCAGAGTCATTAGCAATCCACAGATGTGCTTTTGTAGTGAGAATGAAAAAGGAGCTCATTACATACTGTTTGGGTCATTTTTCCTCTCCATATTTAATAATTCCATGACAGTTTGACAGCAGAGACTAGTTCCTATCTGTCCTCCGAGACAGCGGGTTTATCATTATAGGGGTACTAAAGCCAGTCATCCAGCCACAAGTGATAATATCTTCATGCATCAGCAATTTGTTTGGAAAATGCTATTGTCTGGGTTACAGACAAACTTGATAATTTTGAACTGGTTTTTGCCTCTTTTATGCTTGCTAAATTAATCTATTCATAAATGGTTGTATTTGAATTAATTATGCTTGTATTCTGTGTTCTGTGACTCATCATGATTGGCAGAACGATAAGCCCCAGATATTTAGTTTACTTTTCACTGCTTGGATGTTTTGAATGATTTCTTTTTGACGTTAAGAATATCCAATCATTCTTTTCAAAAGAAATCTTAAGGGTAGAAAGAATATTGGTCAATTTTTCATTGAAGCCTATTGGTAAGGAAATGACTTAGAAAGTAGATGGAGGATTGTTTATGTAATTGGATCTTTTGGGAATCTTCTCTACAATATTAGATATTTTTTGAATTCATAATACAATTTAAATTTTTATAGATTTTTAGAAGCTTATTGACATATGGGACATTTCTATTCATGCTATCATCATTCCACCAGGTAGTCAGCTTCACATGGGCAAGATTTGCCTACCTGAGTGAGTTCCGATGTCAATATCAATCATAGTGTCTCCTAAATATGTGCTGAATTAATGTGAATAAATGAAGGATCAAATGAGTGAATTATTTCAGGACTTTTTCACTTGAAAAATAATTTTTTAAAAACACTGTTGCCTCCACTTCTAATACTTTTCCTTCTGCAATTATTCTGCACATTTCTAGTAAATTAACTTTCTTAAATCCAGAGTCCTTAAAATTGTCTACAAGACTTTACATGACCTGACATTTACTTCTCTACATCATCTCCTTCTGTGCTTCCCCAACTCACACAGGCTGCTTTTTGTGAACCTGGTCCTCAAAGCCTTTGCACTGGCATTCCCTCTGCTGGAGTTCTATTCTTCTAGATACCTACATGGCTTGTTCCTTACCTACCTCAAACTCTTGTTCAAATGTAACATCAGATGTCACCCTAACCAACCTATTTATAATTGCTTCAGTTTTTAAATTTATAATTGCTTACCTGTAAATTAAATCTTCAAATATATCATTTACTTATTTCTTTTGTTTCTTATCTGTTTCTGTCTACCAGAATATGGGCAGAGATTCTTCTTTCTGCATTTTTCTAATGTATTGCTCATTTACTTATTTCTTTTGTTTCTTACCTGTTTCTGTCTACCAGAATATGGGCAGAGACTCTTCTTTCCGCATTTTTCTAATGTATTACTGTATTCATATAGCTTAAAAAAATGTGATATATAATAGGGGTTCAAAAGATATTTGTTGAATGAATGAATAAAATGTAACTCTAATCCTCTCAAAATCTGATAGTGGATTTTTCCTTAAACACAGACTCATTAGCCTGATTACCTTTGGCCTTCCACTGAACTACTTACAACCTTTCGTACGATATGAATTGCTCACAATGCTATGTCTATCCATGGGGTCTGTATCTGAGCTCTCTGTAAAGCTCTTTCTTTGCTCCTTTCACTTGTCTTCCAGACTCAGTTCAAATATCACTTCTGCCATGAAACAAGTCTTCTCTTGTCACCTCAGCTAAAAATGCCTTCTTTTTTCTTCACACTCCAGAATACTGCATGTTAACATACTGAGGGCACTTGTCACATGCTACGTTTTATTGTTAGATATGCAAACTTTGCACCTTTATAACAGAGTACCTTGTATATCACAGGTTCTAGAGAACTATCTAGCAAATGAA